TTTAGTTTATCTAATTCAAACCTAAGCAGACATGCTGCACATTTAACTACATTTCAAATAATTTTCCCAAAGATGGTGTCCACCAATTTACGTAGTTTATATCACACTGATATTTGTTCAAATCTCCATTTGTAGTTATTTGATGCTATAAAATAGGGCTCTTTAAATTAGATCAGCAAGAGTTTGAGCGGAAATTTGAATTGTGTGGCTTCAGCTCATGAGCATGACTGCACAATCTCCAAATGACATAATTTGTGATGTTTTGGCTTCACTTTTCTACACTGGAAGAAAGCGGTGATGCATGGTCTTTTTAAGTCTATGGTCTATTTATAAAGATATGGTCTCTATGGCCCTGTTTATACCTGGTGTTAAGATGCAGTTTTGCTGGTCTGATCAAAAGTGAACAACCATAAATATAAGTGTAAACAAGACATTTAAAAAAAGTGTTTGTTCTTCTTCGATCACTTCTACACATAGATGTACAGGTATATGTGCACCTGTTCACAGACCCCTAAAATATTCAGGATATTGTAAGTGCTTGAAATAGGACGAGATGGATTAAATCACCAAATGTGTGCCTCCTGTCTGCTGGTGATCAGATCAAACAAAATGCATCTTAAAGCCAGATGCAAACATGGTTTGAAGGAACAAATATCTTAACAGAAAATAACTCTGTCATGAAGATATACTGTAATGTCATTGTCAGTCAAGAAAGCTTTGTGGTTTTCTTGGTTTTGCTGGATGTGATTCTGTGTTTGAATAATGTTGATCTTGCCTGCAGCTCTGAAAACATTAGTTTACTAATTTTCCTATCTTAAAAGAGAATGAACACATAAAAGAGCATGCACACTCTCTTAGAGAGATTCTTGCACCAAACTTAGTGGTTGTAGAATAGCAACCTGAACGTCCTAGGTTCAAATGAACTAGATGGTTCCTCTATCACCTCTTGTGCCCTTGAGCAAGACATTTATCACCAGACTGTTCCAGAGGACTGTAAATGTAGTAATTCACTTTGGTTGGACAACACTGATTAACTAACAAACACCAGTACTTTGTAACATACACACATTTTAATTCACCTCTCAAACCTTTATGCAACCCACAAATGTTACTTAAAGGGATCGTTCACCCCAGAAATTAACATTTGCTGTTAATTTACTCATCCTTGGGTCATTCAACATGCAAGTGACTTTTTTTTCCAGCAGATTTTCATAAATGTTTTAGCTGAAACGAAGGTCCTCTGGGAGTCATAACATCAAAGTCAGTGGCTGCTGGCACTTTGAAAGTCCAAAAAATGAAATAAATAAAAAGCATATTGCAGAAATGATGTGACTGTTGAAAATACATTGAAGCCTTACGCAACAAAACAATGTGTGCAGGAAACTGAACTAAATGTGGTTTATTTATAAACTTATTTTGAGAAGTTATCTTGTGCTTATGATTGAACACAACTGGTACCGCATCAGCTCCGCATATTGCACCAATCAGATGAACACTGACACACACTGACACTATAAATAACCAGAGCTTTCTACTCCAGTCATCCTCGTCTTGAAGAATCCCCCCTTCCACCCCTACTCCTCCCCTTCTTTGATAGGGTGGCACGGTGGCCCAGTGGTTAGCACTGTTGTCTCACAGCAAAATTGCCGTTGGTTCGGCCCATCTCTGAACCGGTCGGGGTTTCTGTGTGGAGTTTGCTTGTTCTCCCCGTGTTTGCGTGGGTTTTCCCTAGGTTTCCCACCACCGTCCAAAGACATACACCATGAGTAAATTGACTACTTCAATATAGCATCTTAAGACAACTCTCCCGCCCCATTTACACGGGGAGTCAGCTTCAACGCTTCCCATTCACTTTGAATGGGTGACGTCAGGCTTTCCCAAACTGCATTGTGGATCTGTCAGCGCCGCTTCAGAGGCGTTGCTTGCTGCAAAAGTTAGGACTTGCTCAACTTTTCAAGCACCGATGGAAGCGTCAGCCAGTCAGATCGCTGTATGCAAATATACCAGTTCAGACGATGGCCTATTGCTGACTAATTTCTTTGGCTGACGCTGCTATGATGATTGCGTCAGCCCCAACTTTAGACACGCCCTCTGTCAAACGTTAATGCTGAAGCCCCGTGTGAATGGCCAGATATATCTCAGCACAACCACAAACGGGAGTTCTCGAGACCTACCTGAGCTCAAACTCTCCTCTCGCCGTTCAAACATGAGGGAGCCCCGGGCTCAGGGATATTCTGAGCTCAGGGCTCGCTCCTGGGACAATATGCCAAATACGCTTTATTATCAATCATCAGCTAAGTGTGAACTCTTGAAACAGCTTGTTGTGAAGTGATAAATGAAATGTCAAATGTTAGCTATCTGAGACATTTGGACATAATGTTACTTTTGTATGTGGGCTGCAGCATTCAGGATAAGCACAATTTAGGACCACTTTGATAAAGAACACAACACACAAATCCAAACAGCTCATGTGTAAGTTTATGTCTGCAATCATTATGGGAATCGTCAACACACTCAGGACTGTTGAGTGTCTGTTGATTAAAGATTATACTGCTGTAAATAATGTTCAGTTTCTTGCACAGACTGCTTGTTGGGCTTCATTAGACTTCAAAGTGTCTTCACTAGACACAGACATTCATTTTGAAGCTGCAGTCTATGAAACACCATGTATCAGTTTCAGCAAAGGAAAAAAAGATGTCTACTTTTTGGATGGCCTGAGGGTGAGCAAATATATAGCAAAGTTTTATTTTTAGATGAACAATCTCTTCATAAAACTATGAATGTATAAACACTGATCACCATGTGCAATGTGTGCAACAGATATTTGTTTTTCAGGAAAGTAAATTTGTTGTTAGGGTTAATCATAAGGAGACCTTTTATTCTTAACTGTGGCGTTAGACACAAACAGTGGCCTTGATATCATCTTTATTAAAACGCGTAGTTGGGTATAATATCATGGTTGTGCAGTCAGATGGAGAAACTTAAAATCAGGGCTGAAGTTGGTGAAACCAGTAAAACTGATTGAAAAATCAGTAAGTGAAAGGGATAAGATATGACAAGAACTGTAACACCCTTGCACAAGTGGTATGAAGTGTTTTGGAAATGGTGTAATAATGGAACAGTCACCATGTGTCAGAGCTAAACTCTCAAATAACAGATGTAAAGTTTCTCATTTGTGGGTGACAAGTCGCACCCCTTGTTTACAGACATGTATTTTCCTTCCACAAGACATGACACACGCAATATACAAAATCACGCCTTCACATCACACAAATGCTGATCTGGCCAAAGCACGGATATATCCTAGGATTATGGATTTGTCTTAAAACAGCTCCTTTCTCTATGTAACTGATCTATGGATAAAATACTGCATGCAGGGTCAAAGAAACAGTATCTGAGTTTGACCCTTAGATGGCGTTGTGTCATAGCTTGATATTGCATGCTGGAATTAGTGAACAACACGAGTCCAGGTTAGCTTAATTTGCATGAGGAGTTGCTGTTAATCAGGGGTGGGATGTGGGATTAGTAACAAAAATAAAAGAATTAATAAATAACAAAGTGTCACTTCCATACTTTTCATAATTCATCTGCTCTGTTATTGAAATGTATTGGTGGTCGCTGGTCATGTGATGCTGAAGGAGTCATCCCTTGAAAACAGTTGGTGAAAATGTGTACCTGCATGTGTTCCATGATGTGTCCATCTGTGTAAATAGCTGTAATATATGTATGTCAGTCTTGTCCTGTGTTTAAATTATATTTTGCACTGAATGTACCAGGAATTCGAGTGCTATTCTGGTCTCTTTTTATTGTCTTGGTCTTTGTGATTTAAAGCTAGTGTCATTTAGGAAACACAGGTAATTTTCCCGTCATAAGACTTGGGGAAAAGTGTTGCTGGAATCATTTTATCTTTCTGTCAGGCTAATCAACCTCACCTGCCATCGTCCAAAGTCCTGTTTCTACTTCAGTTGTCTACAGGGAAGAATACCAAAAGCTGAAAAGATCCAGCTCCTTAGCATTTCAGGCAAAACTGATTAGCAAACAATGAACACAAATGAGAACACAAATAACCTGTGTAAAAAAATAATAAATCCATACTAAACCAAATGAATGACTGATGTTATGAGGAATTATCTATATTAAAACAACAATTATAAGTCACATCTATCTATCTATCTATCTATCTATCTATCTATCTATCTATCTATCTATCTATCTATCTATCTATCTATCTATCTATCTATCTATCTATCTATCTATGGTGGTACAATGGGCGATTTCTAAACGATCACGACGATGACGATGGTGGTGACGTAATGCCTCGCTGCTCGCACTGGCATCAGGGCAGAATTTGAAACTGAAGAGCCGGCGGACAAGAGGCAAACTGAATCCAGGAATCCAAAAACCGACTTTACCTCAGCATGAATTAGCCGTCGAACGTGTTTACTTGCGGCTCAACTTTATCCAGAGTTCATTGAACAGTTTGTCTGCTGAACTAACGTTACAGCTGTTGTTCCCTTGAGAAGAGGAAGAGGGTGTCCGCTCTAAACTTTATGTCGTGATTTTGTCCTGCGTGTAAGAAAGAGCTGTCTCTCTGTCTGTCGGTCGGTTGGAGTGTATTTTGAACAAAATGAGGCGAATCTGTTCATGCTTTCGTTTGAGTAAAGAACGGAGTTTAATCAAGAACTTTTAGCGGTGTCGTCGAGGGCTAGCCTTACGTGAGCTAATCTGCGCTAGCTAACTTAGAGGCTCTTAGCATCAGTTAACTTACGGTGTCCAAGCACAACTAACAGTTAAACTCACGGCAGGGAAGCGAATAGATTTGTTGTCAACATTTGCTAAACAACCGCGAACTAAACACTGTCTTTCTGAAACCTTTTTTTTAAACGGTGTGAGCACCGCCAGGAGGCCGGTGGCAGTGGGTGTTTTTTTTACTTCTTCCTGGTGGTGACTGAACATGAGCAGTGCTGGTTAAGTGATAACAACAGTCTGCACACTTGACTGGACACTGGTGGCGATGGCCCGGAGGAGGCTGGACAGTCGCAGTGGGTCCTCGGCTCTGCTGTCAGAGATTCACTCTCACATCCACACGGATCCTCTGGACACCCTGTTTGACATAGGCAAAGAACTGGGCAGGTGTGTAAAATACTCCCATGTCTGAAGCCTGTATGCGTTTGATGTTATGTTATGATGATATTGCAAAACTGATGATCACTAATATGTTTGTTGTACTCAATACAGTTGTCTTCATATATCAGGAAGTTATCAGATACAGAAGTGTTATCAAATGTATAATCAAACTTCATGTCTTCTTTAAAAGTTTTTAGGGAATTACTTTATATATTTTTTAGCTGCATCAGTTCCTTTGAATGCAAAGATTTAGTATTACTCCAGAGGGTTACACCATGATCCTTCAGAAATCATTTTAATATGTTGATTAACTGAAAGATTAAAATAACATCTTATCAACTGATTAATTTAAGCCGTCTTGGTTTATAGAAATATTAATATGTATTATCTTTCACGCTGTAATCATTGTGTATGAGCCAGTTATATATATTTGGCAAACATAATTATTAGTTTTATATATATATATATATATATATATATATATATATATATATATATATATATATATATATATATATATAAGCTATAATTATAATATAACTAAATATTATTAGTTATATATACAGGTAATAAAGGATTTCTGTCCTGCACTGTGATCTTTAAATATGAAGTCTTTTAAAATATGAAATCAAATTAAACTTGTTTTAAAAATGCCGTAACAAGATTTTTTTTTATACATAAACGCTTTTTACAACGTCTGTTGTTAATCATGTTAACAATTATGATAGTGATCATTTTTAAGATAATAAAAAATAAATAATAATGAAAGTAAACACAGTGTTTTTGTGGCATGTTAAAATGTCTTAAATCTCAAAATCTAAATTTTAGGCCTTAAAAAGTCTTAAATCTACTGAAATGTTGTGTTGTAGGTCTTGCATCTTTTTTTAAACGGGTCTTAATTTTCCTTTGTTCATGTATTGCTACCCAATCTGGCCAAAACCCATACAATCACCAGCAATCTATCTCAATAAAACTATTTTTTTTATTTTAAAAGGTAATGTTTAACTCTATTTATCACAATGGTTTATTATTTTTTCATTAAATAACTTTTTTTTAAGTGCTCCAAGTATTTCTATTAACTGCTGAGGACAACGACCTGGACAGATTATTGGGCATAGATTTAGTTTATTATAGTTCTTAATTTTTTTTAAACATTTGTTCCTTTTTATTTATTAGGTTTATGTTGGAAAGAATTGTATGGATACAATTAGAGCTCGCTTGTTTTTACACAATGTTTAAAATATTTTGCTAAGAAATATCAAAATTAATTTTTTATTATTAATTTATTCTATTATTAAATGTATTACGTTATAATAATTTTTAAAGGGTTAATAAAAAATGTTTGCCATCTGGGCTATTTGAAAAATTCCTTAGCGTTTAGCCTTTTACGAGTCTAAAATGTCATTCATAATGGTCTTAAAAATGTCTAAAAAAGTCAAGTAAAAATTGTACTTGAAACCTGCAGAAACCCTGTCAAGAAAAACTATGTTCAGCTTTATTATAAGCTCTAATATAGTTTTAAACTAAAAACTATTTTCATCCTTAACTTGTAAACAGCTGGCCTTGGTGATTATTTCCATTGAGGGAAGTATTGTGGTCTCAAATCACATGCAAACATATGAACTAAATAGATGTGTCCCTGGTTAATTTTGAGTGAAAGTGTAAGCATGACTGAAGTTGTTCGCTGTGTAAAGTCTGTCCATTTTAGCTATTCAGGATTTGAAAGACCTTGCTCACTGAACTGTGACTAATATGTGTGTGTCAGTGCTCTACAGCAAGGCTTTGGTGCTTGCAGGAAGGAAACCCATGTGGGAACCAGACCCAGTTTTGTGCTCGGCTGTTGATTGTACTGTGAATACTGAGAAAAAGGAAGTGACATTGGTCTCTTCCTCTTTCTCTTGCACCATTTGCATACAGCCATATTCGGGTTGTTTTTGTGGTACTAGCCGTGTTTAACAGGAAATCATTTCACAAGTTCGCTTACAGTTTTATCTTGTCGGTGTGAAGATGTATTATTTGTATCTGTGGAGGGAGGTGCAGTTCTGTGCAGAGAAATGTGAAGATATGAGTTGAATTCTGCTGTGATGGAAAATTTTACTTAAATATTTCCTCTGATAAGGCACTTTTTGTTTTGATTTATTCTGACCTGAAGAAAAAATATTAAAGCGTCATATTAAAATCGTAATGACGTATCGTCATTAACAGTCTTTCTACAATAGATAATGTTGAATGTGGAAAAGTCACTAAAATGCTCACGTTTGTGCAACAATAGACATATACAACAACATATAGCCTAATTTTGTTGGAAAAATGCTTGTTTTGTAACAAATTTTGTCTGGTATAATTTGTATCTTAATTTTAATGATTTTTTTTGTTGTTGGCCAGTTATCTACAAAATAGACGAAAAGAATGAATACATTTTAGGTGAAGGGATGTGCAAATAATACTTTTTTCAATAATAAGAGAATTATGAATTAAATTCAAGTACAGCTATTATAACATGTAAACTATAGTATTTCTGACAATTTTCTTTATAATTTGAGTTATGACTTACAGTATCTCAATACTATTTGGTACCCTGATATTTCAGCTGCTATAGTATCGTAGGATGATTTAATGGTATCGCGACAACCCTAACTATAAATATTTATATTTATGAGGATTGATTTATAATAAAATTGATCACATTTATATTTTCTGAACGCTTCATGTGGTTTCTACAACAAATGTTAAGCAGCCCAACTTTAGAGTCATCATTTGAATGATTTCTGAAGGATCAAATTACTGGATAATTTACCTGGAGTAATGGCTGCTGGATATGCCAGCTTTGCCATCACAGGAATAAACTGCAAATTAAAAATCATAAGATGGTAACCGGTTTCAATGTTTACTATGGTTTGGAAAAGGTTTTAAAACCACAAAAGTTTTCTGTTATACCATCCTAAGGTATAGATTCTGTAAGTTTTTTTTATTTTTTATATGTATACACGTTTTTCACAACTATATTAATTTTTTTAGGGCAACGATTTTTCCAGCAGAAAATGAATCAACATCAAAAGCTAGTGGTCCAAAATATTTTTAATTTATTTTAAAATAAAATATATTGTGTTCAGTGAGGGAAAGAAAATTTTACCTAGACTTTTAAAAAGAATATATTTAAGGTCGTAATCACAATAATGTGATACCGTGAAACCATATTTTTATCCAAGGTTTTCATATCGTCAGAATCTTATACCAGCCCATGCCTAAATTAAAAAATATACTTAACAAATTATTACTATTTGAAATTTGGCTGTCTGCTTTGGCTTGGTTCCAAGATATAAGGATGTAGAATACAGTACATTATGACTCTGCTTTAGGGCTGTGCATTATATCAATTCAGCTTCATGCTGGGATATACAGTGTTGAGTTAGAATTAAAGTTGACCAAGAGTCACAGTTCAGAACGTGTGTGTGATTCGTGAAGTCACTGCAGAGTTTAACCATAATAGAGTAAAAGTTTATCATCCGCCTGTGTTTTTAAAGCATGTAGCAGTGTAAAGCATTCAGGCACAAGAAATTGTGCTATCACTGACTTTATTAAGGAAAGATTTATTCTTGAGCTGAAGATTTGTCTATGCTTACAGTATGTTTTATTTATGCATGTTTCACTCCCTTACAAAATCTATCTAAATGAATTAATTACTTTCAAATTCAAGCCATCTGGAAAAATTTTTATTCATAGCAGAATGATGATGTCATATTTTTCCAATATTGTGCAATCCTACTCTGCATTTAGTATGATGAACAATTGTTTTAAGGATGATGGACACAGCAGAAGAGCCATAGTTTGGTCCTAGGAATTATAGGATTGATTCTGAGTAGATGCTTGTAGCCTGATATCTCACCTGTTCATTCTGTGACCATAATTGCAGTTTCTTTCGCAAAGCCTGGCCCACATCAGTCATCTAACCTGATATTAAACTGTGAGAACATCTAATGGAGGGTTTGACTCAGTTAATAACTATGTGTGTCAGTAAGAGCTGTGGTGAGAGAGAGATCTGCTACAGGTGCCACTGAATGTGTGCACATGATGCCATCTTTCAGTCCATCACAAGTATAAAAAAATAATAAAACTTTAGGTACTTTACTTCATTTACTGCTCAAAATGTCCCACGTGTCTTGATTTCTGTTTTAATTTTACTTTACTCCTTCTCAATCTCTGTGTCTCTGTTCTTCTCCCTCAGGGGGAAGTTTGCAGTGGTTAAGCGTTGTGTGGAAAAGACCACGGGTAAAGTCTTTGCTGCAAAGTTCATCAAGAAGCGGCGACGAGGTCGTGACTGCAGAGCAGATGTCATTCACGAGATTGCTGTTTTAGAGGCAGCCAAGAACAACCCTCGGGTGGTGAACTTGAACGCTGTATATGAGACTGATTATGACCTAGTTCTGATGCTGGAATTGTGAGTGCTTATTAATGATAAGATACATTATCGTTGATTGGATGATCGTTAAGGTCATTAGGAATAACTCTGACGGTGTTTGTTTACCAGCGCGGCGGGTGGTGAGATATTTAACCACTGTGTGTCAGATGAGCTGCTGCCTGAAGGTCAGATCACTCGTCTCATCAGACAGATGCTTGAGGGCATTCACCTACTGCACCAGAGCAGCGTGGTCCACCTGGACCTAAAGGTCAGATACATGGCTGCTTTTAACACCATCATTGAACACATTCTGAGCTTGAAGGGATAGTTCACTCACCCCTAAGTGGTTCCAAAACCTTTATGAGTTTCCTTTTTCTGTTGAACATAAAAGCCATTGACTTCCATAGCAGGAAAATCAAACGCAATGGAAGTTATAAGTTGCAGGTTACCAACATGTTTCTAAATATATATTTTTGTGCTAAAAAAATAAACTCAAACAGATTTGTAAAAAATGAAAATTGAGTAGATGAAAACAGAAATTTTTAGTTATAAGTGAACGATCCCTTTTTGGGTGCTTTCACACCTGCCTCATTTAGTTTGGTTAAAACGTACCGGAGTTTGTTGGTCTTTTTGGTGCGGTTCATTTGGGCAGATCTGAAAGCAGCAGTCATACTCTGGTGCACACCAAAAGTTGGCCAAACAAGTGTACCGAGACTTGCTCAAAGAGGTGGTCTCGGTATGCTTTCAGACAAACCCCTTAGAGGTTTGTTTGTTTTGAAAATGTGCACTGACCCAAATGCAAAATATATATATATATATATTATACTTTTTTTTGGACTAAACCAGCTGCTGCCATCTAATTTAGAAATTTCTAAAATATACTACATACATTTACTGAAGCATTGTTTTTTTTCATGCAGCCCCAGAATATTCTCTTGACAAGTCTGAGCCCTTTGGGGGATATAAAGATAGTGGATTTTGGATTGGCCCGCAGGTTGGGTTCTGCTGGGGAGCTCCGAGAGATTCTGGGAACCCCTGAGTATGTAGGTAAGTTCATTCAGCTTCTTCAAATCCACACAGATCTCTATATACGTGGTCAACACTTCATACTCAGTGACAGTAATTATTTTAGTAATTAAATTTTTTTGGTCTTATTTCCAGCTCCTGAAATTCTGAACTATGAACCAATCACCACAGCAACAGACCTCTGGTGAGTCTCTTCTTTATCATCAGGTGTTTCAATGAACACATTTCCCAGCTGGAAATGTCACAGATATGAATGAAATGATAAAAGCTTGTGAAAGTTTTATTGCTTGATAGAAAATGTTTTGCTTGGTTCAGAGAAATTGGTTAGTCAGAATTACTGGGCATTCTATAAGTTGTCTATTATATTCTCTAAAAGGATAGTTCATGCAAAACTGTTGTTCAAATGTTCTTTGCTCTTCTTTCTTGACTTTATTCCCCACAATGGGGATATTTAAAGAGGTTTTGCCCATACTGGTCCATATTAAGGAGTGAATAGTATGCTCTGGGAGAATATGATTAATAAACCAAATCCAAAGTTGTATGTATTATATTAATAAAATCCTGACCTTTACCACTGGTCTTTGCATCAAGCTGCACATTCATGACTCTATTACTCAGATTTATCTGGTAGGATTTTTTTTTTCTAGGGAAATTTAGTTGAGCCATGCGACTACCCAGAGATAATTTTGTAATACCTTAATACAGAGATAATATCTTTGTAATTCATGATATGTGTGTTTCATGTTTTAATAATCTTAGTTTATCAAAACACTGCCATTGTGTGCTTTTCTTAATTGAGATTGAGTGATTTAGGTTTGCTTTATGAGTAGAACACTGAGCAGCCAGTTACGAGAACATTTTTGGACGCAGTATTTTGATTTACGTTTTGAATTAGATGTTTTTCAGGATTCCTTAATGAACAAAGTCAGATTAACTTCATATTTTTTAAAAGTCTTTTAAGTCTTCTAACATTTCTTACTGAACTAAGGTATTCATTTCAAGTCAAAGCTCCTGCTAACAAATGACATGCCGTGTTTTGTGTCGTTGTTTTTGTGTCAGGAATTATTTTTCTAAACACTCATATCTCTTGCCATCAGGAGTGTGGGTGTGATCACTTATATGCTGGTGACAGGAGAGTCTCCCTTCGCTGGCGATGACAAACAAGAGACCTTCCTAAATGTTTCCCAGGTGAACGTGGAATATAGCAGAGAGACCTTCTCAAGGGTCTCTGAACTGGCTGTCGACTTCATCCGGAAACTGCTGGTCAAAGCGCCAGAGTGAGTGTGTCCTTGAATCTGAACGACTCTCATTTCAGACAGTAAGAGGAAGTGAAGCTTTTCTGCATTTTACTGTGCAAAATGACACGGGCTACTGCTTCTACATACACATTCAAGTGATATAGGGGCTATGGAAAGCTCTTTACCACCTCCAGAGCAGTGATTAATCTGGCTCTTACAGTTTTATTACACATTACACAGTTTCAGATAGGAAGTGGTAGGCTAACAAATGTCCAAAGATCATGCTTTTTATGGCGCAGTATTGACTTTTTACATTCCCATATAACTACTGGTTATCATCAAGTACAAAGTGCAGGTTTCATTTTCTATTCATTTGTTTTGACACTCAAGAGAACATTTCAGAATCAAAATAACTGAGAACAGATGAAGTCTGTTTAGTAAAAATGGAAGCAAACAGGTTTGTTGTTAGGAAAGATGGCACATTAAGCAAGTTGATGTACTATGGAATGTTCACAATAGTCAGTTTCAGATTACTTTTCACTTATCAGTGGCCTTGATATGAATTCTCCCCTACTTTATCAGAGACCGTCCCAGTGCAGCCGATTGCATGACCCATCCCTGGCTGTGGCTTCAGTATCCAGGTTCTGATCCGGTCCCCATGACCCCACGCACTCCTCGGGAAAGGAGTTTTGGTGGGAAGTGGTCTGCTCCACCTGAGGACCCTGAAGACAAGGAGAACATTCTGGACTCGCCGCACGCCAAGAGGTTTCGTTTCGACGAGGACATGTCAGCCACGGGCGACGGTGACAACTTATGCTGATCCTAAAGGGAAAGCCCCTTGCACTATAGAGCATTATGTCACATTTGTGGCCTCTTTTTTGCTGGCTCAAGTATTGGCCCACACAGCACCAGCAAACATGCTTCTGTCCTAAAGCTGTTTTCACTATCCTTTGGTTGACCAAAGATGATCATTTCAAAAAAGGGCAAAATCTGGTGTAATATTATAGTAGTGAGAATCTAAATATGTATGTTGCTGTCCTGTTTCAAGATGAGCTTTTTCATGTCATGTTTGCATTTTAAATTATTAATTTGAACATATTGTCTATTTTAATTGATATTCAGTATCGATTTTATTTCCTGCAGCCCTTAGATTCGATTACTGCACTTAAACAAGTCGGAGTGCTCAAGTGTGCCAGGGGTTTTAAAGGGTCACTTCACCACAGAATTACAATTCTGGCTTATTTTACTTGCCTTGTTGTTTTTGGTCAAATCAGACAGACACCATTGCTCAAATCTCTTCTACACCCAAAACTTAAAAAAAAAAAAAAAGAAAGAAAAAAAGCTTCATTTATAAGCTCCCTCTGAAATGAATGTTTTTTACTACTCAAAAGACATGATCGTTTTATTCACATACTAATATTGGAGTGTTAAACATCAGATAAGAACAAAAGTCATTCAACAGATGGCTGTTGAAGCTCTGGCATGGCGAACAAGAATGATCCTTATTGGTTCTCACACATCAGTCAAGTAATTCGCTTATCATCTTGTGTCAATTGGTTCACCCATGATCTGTCATCTCTTTAGAATACTTTGACTAAGCTGTTTTAAGCATCTTTACAGGGTGGTTTTGAAATTGGCTGAATAGACTTTCAATGGAGAAACCAAATACTCTGCAGTCCTTCAGAATATCTTTATTAATGTTTATGCTTTGAAACAACAGGGTGAGTAAATAGCAGAATTACAATTTTGGGGGTGATCTAGCCCTTTAATTCTGCATTAAAGGAGGATGTGAAGGTTTGAGCAAGCTAAAGTGAGTGTTGGTTTAATGTGTGTCAGTGTAGGGGAGTTGTGGATTTCTGATTAGACGCCTAGTGAGACTTCAGGAATGCCCTCTGTGCATGGGTGTGCTTTTGTCCCACATCATCTTTCTTTGACGCATAAGTGGGCTCCGTAACAATGTGACTCAACACACACACACAACACACCCTGGATTACACAAATATGTGTTCGTATTGGTCACAAACTTCCTCTTAAAGAAATGCAGGAAGGCACTTAAAGCATCTGTCTGCGTGACTAAAATATCAGAATATATTTGTAATGGTGTAGGATTTATTAAATCAACTGATGATCTGTCGACTTTTAAAATCTTGTTTTAAATATTTCCTTTTTTACTGTCAATGTATTGTATAATAAACCTTTATTAAGCAATGTTCTAGCATTGACACACAGCAGGCGCCTAATGTCTCCGAGCCTGTGACGATCTATGATATTCATCCATTTCAAATGAATCTTTATCTATGCACCAGTCTGAGGTAGCTCAGGGTTTTTTTTTGTTATCTTTTTGTACAGTTGTTTTTAAGCTAATGCTATTGACTGATGGAGATTTCAATACTCGTTCATTCCGAGCCTTGTTCTCAGGGTTAGCTGTAACTGCACAGTTTACCAGTTTCTATTTCTCCAGTGCCTTCGTGCGCATTTGTCTTTCCTCTATGCTTGAGCCGCACAGCCTCACTTGATCTCGTGTAACACCAGTGCTAAACCTTATGTGGGTGTATTAATAATATTAAAGGGATAGTTCACCCTGAAGTTGTTCTATTCCTGTGTGAATTGATTGTTTTTAATGAACAAAACATTTGGAAAAATGTGGTAAGGATTTTTTTAGGGTGAACTAAAATGTCTTAATTGAAACTCTGGTGTTCTTTTAAAGCCAATGGCCTAGTTTATTTAAAGTAAATTATTTGTTTGCTTTTGGTTCTAGGGACGCATATATATTCAGTGGGATTTGGAAAGGTTTTAAAGATATATTTATGGTCTTGGAATATGTAGGGCTTGAAAAGATGGGTAGTTGTCGTCGGCTGTTATTGTTGAACTGAAATGATGCTCGGATAGTGAAGTATGTTTGGTTATGATGAAAGTATAGGGTGTGAATTCTGGAATGAAGAAAGTGTGCAGAAGAGCAAAGAATTATGTTTGCGAAGGGATTTCTTCCTGTGATATATTGTTGACGGCTTTGTTAAAACTGGAAATGTTAGTATTGCAGTAGTGGTGGAGCTCGAGGCCTTCAGTTATTGTTCTCTGCATAAAGAAGTGTGAAGAGCTTGTGTGTGTGTGTTTGTCTGCTCTTTCCCAGAGATGTCACCAGTCTGCAATCATAATAGAGCTATTGTCTCCTAAGACGAGAGTCTCTTGTCACGGTCGTGTGCTCACTGTATTCCGTCATCTTAAGGAAAACTTGAATCTATTTCTTGCCTGGGAAACGGCCACGATAACTTTTAAGGGCCATGAGGTATTTGAAGCCGGAATTCAACAGAACAGGCCAGGCTTTGAAGTGCATTTCTAAACAGTCACTGTGGTATTTGCAGAACGCCTGCGACAAACTTTTTAGAAGGCATTTAGGGATAAACATGCTTGACTCTTTTTATTTTAGGCAAGATTAGTGACGACTGATATCGAAAGATTCATTTCTGTGTATTTTGAGTTATATGTACTGGAATAAATGATGTTCAGCTGATTTAAATGGATTTTAATAAAGCCTTTATTAGAGAGTCTGCAGTTGTAAAGGACCTACCCTAATATAGAATTTGTATGTTGATTTTAGACCCATTACAAACTTTTCCAATTTTGGTTTTAAATAAGACCATGTCATGTAATTGATTTACTTAAATAATAATAATAAAAAAACTGGTTCTGACAATTGTCAAACTTTTATACATTCTTGTCCCTCATTTTTATCTTCAAATGTCAATGACTGATACATAACAAGAGCAAACTGCCTTTCACTGAGTTAAAGGATGGTGAAAATAAAGATTACTTAATAACAAAATAACAGAATTAGGGCTGGTGTTCTTCCCTTTTCATGATCTCGTGTTCATTAATGGTTTAGATCAGGGCTGCTCAATCCTGTTCCTGGAGATCTTCCTTCCTGTAGATTTCAGTTGCTACCCATTTCAAACACACCTGCCTGTAATTATCAAGTGCTGTTCAGGTCCTAATTAATTGGTTCAGGTGTGTTTGATCAGGGTGAGAGCTGTGTTTTGCAGAGAGGTAGATCTCCAGGAACAGGATTGAGCAGCCCTGGTTTAGATCACTCCAAAATGACCACTTTATTCTCCCTTGTGTGCTTTCAAACCATTTTGAGTTTCTTCTGTTGAACACAAGGGTAGATCTGAAAAATGTTGTATAGTATGTTTCATAGTAGGAAACGTTTCATAGAAAGAAAAGAAAGGACTATGTAGTCAATGGGTGCCACCTATCAAAATTTGTTCAACAGCAAAAGAAACTAAACCAGGGTGAGTAAATGAGGGCGGAATTTTCATTTTTGGGTAATTATCTTTTAAGTCACAGATCACTGAGGGTACGTTCCGGCATTTTTATTGAATTACGTCAGCATGGAATGATTAAGAAGCAGGAAGCACTTCCATGAAATTACATTCAGGACATTACAAAATCCACATATTCATTTCTATGTGATTCAGTCATAAAGCATAATCCAAACAAAGAGCGCCATCTAGAGTATCGTCTGAAGATTTGTTTTGGGCACAGAACTAACAGTTGTGCACTCAATAAATAAAATATTTTAAAATGTGATTTTTATCAGTGTACTGTAAATGCTCTATATAATTCATTTCTATGGAAGATTCTTATATTATTTGATTTGATAATCAAATGAAAGAAATACTAAAGGAACACAAACACCGAACATATTTGTAATAACAAACCAATGAATTGAGAGGATACTACAGAAATCTAGGTTCTGTATATATGACTACAGGCCTTTGCAAAATAGCATGACTAAGGTCAGTACAGGAAATGTTTTGAGAGTATCCATACTCATTTAGGGATACGGATACTTGAAAAGCCATGCTTATTACACAACATAACAAATCAACTATTTTCATATTAAGCGCTTCAAGATTAATTTCTATGTAGCAAGATAAGAGAGCCCTTGAAACATGACGAGGTAATGGTTGTACTTTGCATATCCACATTCAAAACTACCAATGTCAAACAAGCATCCTAGTATATCAGACAGAGCCTATGTAGATAAATACGACAAGCAAAAACAGTTAGGCTTTAAGTCAGGCATGTTCAATCTTCTACAGGTTTGGTCATTCTCATGTTCACAATGTAAAATTATCATATAGTGTCATAAGACAAATTAGCTTTTTAAGATGCCTCCACTGAAAGTCCAGGTGATGAAGTCTTAGACCATACAATTTCTAATTGTTAAACACAAGTTCATCAGCTGAGCAATCCACCATTATATGGATTCATTTTACAGTAACTGTATAACATTTTTTAACTGGAGTTTTGGCCACCTGGACTTTTCACTGAGGATCAAATGTCTTCATGTGTTTCTCAGATTAATCAATATCTTGACACATCATGTGGGTCACAGTATTTTCATTTTTCAGGAAATATCTCCTGAACATCAATTGTTATGATTGAGAATAATGGGTAGCAGGAACCCAAAACTGCCTTCAAAATAAAATAGTGCAATAGAAAGCCATCTCCATGTTAAGACTATAGTTGAAGCCTCATTTGAGAGGGCTCAGAACTCTTGAATGACCCGGAAGTGATTGTCAATGGATGCCGGCTCATCCTCAAAGTGCAGTTTGTGGCTCACACGGGCGCCCAGATCCTCCAGAGTCTTAATGAAGTGTCGGTGTTCTCGCCCAACCCATGCCCTCATCGGGTCTCGAACCTCATATGGAGTAACATGAGCATGAACAGCCACCCCGCTAGACGCCAGCTCTCCCAAAGCACACTTATCAGTCACCCAGGTCTCACTGCCGCCAGGGTGTCCTCCGTCCAGCCAGTACAGAGCAGACACCCTGTCCAAAAACAGCTGGAGTTCTGGGTCTGCTCGGGCTCCGGCCAGCTCATACACTATCTGATTGAGGACAACACATCCTTTACTGAAGGCCACTATGGTCAAGGAGAAACCGGCAGGAAGAGGGCCAGGGGTGGACGTGCCACTAAGCGGGGGTAAAGGATTTGGCAGACCTGCCTGCTGCATGCTGTGACCTAGCAGTGCCCTCAGGTGGCGAATGGCTCCGTAGTCTGCAGAATGTTCTGGTGCGCCGAATAGGTTGCTTTCTACAAAGTTCTGATAGCAGCTGAACTTGTGTAGGTACATTTGGGATGCACGGATGACCCAGATGTGGCAGCCAGGGAAGCGGTGGGCCAGTGTGAGACCGACACTCTCCAGACTCCAGCACTGCCACGGTGCAGCATCAGGCTGGAGGGCCATTTCCTGCTGGAAGTTCTGGATGAGAATGAGATGATGCATTTGAAGAGGGGATGAAGGGACAGAAACAAATATTATATACAACTGAAGGTAAAATGAGTACTCCTGGGAAATTCGACTTCTTTTTTTACTTTTTCCAAGTGCAGCGTAACAAGATTTTTGAACACATTTCCAAACAATTATTGTCTTTGATTTGACTATCTTCTTTTGTCTTTGGCAAAATGAGAGTTCATCATATTTGTCTAGTTATTTTGCAATATATGAGCATTCAGCTGGAAGTGCAATTAAAGACCTAACCAGGTTAACTGAGCAAGTTAAGTTAATTAAACAAGTCACTGGACAACAGTGGTTTGTTCTGTAGACAACTGATCAAAAACATATTTTTTGACTATAAAAATAGTTTTAAAACATAAAAAAAACTGTTTTTTTTATTTCAGACGAACTAAACAAAACGGCTTTCACTATACAAAAATATTTTATAGAAAATACTGTGAAAATTCTCTTTGTCTATTAAACTGTGTTTGGGAAATATTTGGATAAGTGTTGGAATTTTACAGGAGGAATAATACTTTAACCTTCAACTCTATATAAAAAAAGGGTTTCTACTTAGCTTTTTAAAACTGTGATTACATTCACAAAAGAGCAGCTTCACTCTTATGGACGAACTTACAGTTGCACATAACTAAAACACATTTATTTTGTTAGCAAATTCCCTGACCTGTCAAAAAGTTGTTTAATTTCTGTAATATTCCAGGCTTTCCATTTTTCCAATAGCATGATTCCGTCAGGAATATTATATATGTCTGTCATGATGATCAATTGTTTGTGCTGATGATGAGTTGTCATTAACAAATTATGAAATATCATCTTGCACTTTTTATTATGGGGCGTTCTCAAATAACTGCGATTAAAGCAAGCCACCGCCAGGGTTCAATCACATTTTTACTACTAAAATTCCATGACTTTTGCACAACTTTTAAGTACATTTTCATGACGTAATGTTTCATGTACTGTCTACATATACATGGTAAATAATAAGAAAAACAATGACGTTTCAATTTATTACAGCATATCAAAGAATACATTTGGCCAAGGAAAGAAGGAAAGACATCTAACCTATATTCAAATTAGGGCTGCACTATATATGGTTTCAGCATCGATACGGCAATGTGTGCAATGCAATAGTCACATCACAGGATATGCGATGTTGGGATTATAGTTTAATATAGAGTTTAATCATAACGGAGAAAAAGTTTATCACCTGCATGCATGTTTAAAGAGATATTTCACCCAAAAATTACTTACCATTTTTCACCCTTTACTTGTTTCAAACATTAGTGAGTTTTTTTTTAAATAAACACAAAAAATTTAAACAGTGTTGAAATAAGTGAAGTGTGAGTAAATAGTACATTTTTATCTTTGAGTAAACTGTCTCTTTAAAGTCTGTGACTGTGTGAATATTTCAATATTTCAAATTTTAAAACATTCAGCCACAAGAAAAGTTTTGTAACTTTAATAAAGATTAAATAATATACAATGAATACTATGCAGTGTTGATTATTCAATATCTGTACCTGAATAGTGAATACCTGAAAACTAGAATTCACTTTTATCTTTTCTATATTTCATTTATCAATGCTTGAAATTTCTTTGTTAATTAATATTTGAAATTCACTCCTCTTCAAAACCCCCCAATCAGTCCAAATGAACATGTTAAATCATCTAGTGAAATTGTATTCACATCGCAATATAGATCACAGAAATACTCAATATGGTAATGTCAGATTTTTCTAATATCGAGCAGACCTAATTGAAGTAAGATGTTTGTTAAACTAATTTCTTTACCAAAAGTTTGTTTTTCCAAATCTGTCAAAACTCCATGACTTTTCCAGGTTTACCATGACCGTATGAACCATGAACCACAAGATGATTAATCAATAATCGAAATATATGTCAGGTTTTACTATAAGCTTAAAAGTAAATGTGCATGTCTTTTATAATAATACAATAAATGATAGTAAACCAAGTGCTTTTTATTTATATATATATCAATAGCTGTTGAGAATGACACAGTGTGTTAATTTTAGCAAACAATGAACAGTACATTACAGTAATTATTAATCTTTGTTAACATTAGGGAGAATAAAGTTGTCCGTGGTTAGTTTGTTAACTCACAGAGCATGAACTAATGTTAATAGCTTTGCATTTTAATAATGCATAAGCAAATTTTAAATTAGGATTTTAAAATGTTGTACAAAAATGTTTATACCTAGTTTGTTAGGGTTAGTACTATGTACTTATAAAAATTTATAGTATTTTATAAAAAGTTATAGTATTTATGTTAGTAAATACATTAACATCAAATATTGGACCGATATGTAACGTTAAATTGCTTATTACATATATTATATTATATATAATGTAAACATGGTAATTTAAGCATCACTCTTCAGAAATACACAGACACCGCGTGACACTGACATCTCTGTGCAAGTACTAAACAGAGTTTCTCCGCATGTTTCTGTCATGTCCTGGGCCTGTTTTGATCGTCTGTGATGAAAAACTAAATATAGATATGTAACTAACATTAGTCCACTCGTAAGTGTATCAAATGGCTTTAGTAAAAGGAGGTCGATGATTATTATAACAAGCACCGACCTGAATGTCTCCGGGAAAGAACACGACGTGGTCATTTCCATCCTGCAGGTTCTGAGTTTCATTGTCGCATCGTCTCTGGGTTTCCGTGGCGGGTCTTAAGAGCAGAACATCATTGACGCGGTTATGGTCATAACCGGGGACTGAAGTAAGGCGGAGCAGCCCGGCCGCAGCAGCAGATGTCCCGGAGACACTCTGCCCCGTTGCAGCGGTCATTTTCCTCGCTACAGCGGCTAGCGACAAACACGCCACAACTGATCGGATACTTCCCATAAACACGAGATTATGTGGCGACTGCACGACCTGCAGCATTATCGAAGCCATCACAGCAAAACCAGAGCAAAAAATAGCGACACATGATTCAAACTGTTGTCCTGCGTGTCAGGTATTCGGCGGTTGAGCTTGCGGAATAAAATAAACGTTAAAAGTTTAGGTTAATGAAATATGGACAGATGAACGTATTTTGTTTATATTAAACGCCGCCAAGAGGCACTTTACGGGAGCGTCATTGACGCGCATGCGCGGGTTCACATTCGTAAAACGTGAACAGACAGCGCTGCTTTAAAACATACTTGGATTGACTGCACAGCATATTTATATAGCGATTAATGCGACAGAGCCATGTCGATTAAAAACTCAAACAAATATTTATTTTAAAATCTGCTGATTAGTATCTTGACTCGGTCGGTTATTTTAATCCAGCTGAGGCAAAGAAAAATACAAAACTTTATATAATTATAACAACAGATATAAATCTGAGGGCATATTGTGCTTGATTTGCATTCAAATGTAAAGTTTTGTGATGTTTAAGAAAATTGGGAAAGCCTTCGTTTGGAAGGTTTCGTGAAATAGTCCAGTAGATTCCTTTAAAAGAATCGACTCAATAGAACGATTCTTTCAGAAATCGGACGTCGCTAGCGGAAACAGCTGTGAGCGTGTGCTAGGTTACTTTTGGAGACTAGTGCATGACAGGCAAGTGTATAATGATTACCTGCGAGTATGAGGAACTTTGAACTAATCAATATGTTGTTTATCAACTTGCACAGCTCTTCAACCCTTAACTGATCATGACTAATTTCTTTTAACATATTTGACCATTTAAACATTGTGTAATAAAGTTGACCTTTTTATGTTTAAGTTTTAACGAGAGTTAAGCTTTCTTTTTTCATTCTAGGCGACCCTGAGCTGACTGAGTGTCTGGTTTTAGATCATATGGCCTGGGAGGTGTAAATGTTTCTGTTTTTTTAAAAGGATGTCCTGCTCAGCTCTTGGTCGACGACTGGTTGCATGCCTTTTAAACATCTCTGAAGCCCGAAGAAAAGACTTGGTGGAGACAGTGGCCAGATCAGCCATCACTGACATAAAGGGTGAGACCATGTTTATGTTTTGAGACCATTACATTTACTTTTAACACTTACTCGATGATTCATCAATTTGAGAAATCAGAATTCTTTTGGTTTGTTCTTGTGTCAAATGGTCCGGCTCCATCATTCATAAGGAGAAAAACGTGAAGGTGTCACAGTGCTGAACATCTTCAATGATTCTGACTACAACCGCTCTGTCATTACTGTTGTTGCAAACATTGAGCTCATAAGTGAGTAGCTTGCTAGTTCATTTTTAATAGTAGCTGGGAACAATTGTCTCATAAGTTAGGGTACAAAGAGGCTATTCTTCATTGTTGTTGGTGATTACAGGGGAGGCTGTATTGTCAGCCTGTGAGTGTGCATGTTCTCTGATTGACATGAGTGTCCACGAGGGCATCCATCCATGCATGGGTGCAGTGGATCTGGTGCCTCTCTATCCACTGGGGGAGGATGTGGGACTCCAGGATTGTGGAGAAGAAGCCCAGGGTATGCAGAGATGTAGGCGCTCCAAAAAAATGTGTTTTCTTAATCAACCGTTTGTGGAGTATATTATATCTATATAATCTTAAATAAGTGAGAAAAATTATAAAAAAGAATAAACTATTGTAAAAACAACAACAAAATTACTATAATCAGAACCCAGGGAGTTAAATGGAAGTAAATAATGGAATATTTATTTCTGGGTCAGCTACACTCTTGATAAAAATTGCCAGAATTATTTATATTACTAATATAACTCTCTTGCTACAATCTCTACTTTTAAATGTCACCTTTAAAATATTTTGTGGTGAAATTATTACTGTTTGTATTAATTTAACCTATTAATATAATTCTTTGTTAATCATAACGAGAATAATATTTTAAGAGTTTTGATTTTGGCCTTTTAAATCTAAATGATATGAAGTGATTTTGTCATTGTCTATATTTACCCGTCGCTGTTTTCTTTTTCTGTTTAGCATTGGCCTTGACTCTGGCAGAACGTGTAGCAGGCACCAGTGCCTTTTTGTTTGGCTGGGCAGATTCACCTCAGCATCGAGGTCTGGCTCAGAGGAGGAAGGAGATCGGCTGGTTCAGAAAGGTCTTGAATGTGTCAAACATCAAGCCTGACATTGGTTCTCAGCCCACAAGGAGATACGGCATTACAGGTTATTTTTATTATCTGCAATCAAAAAATATAAACCAGATACAAAACATTAGGATAGATTTTGCATAACAGCACATAACAGAGCATGAAAGCTGGGTTTGGAAGGAAAAATCCTATACATTTTCTCAAAGAAAGCCATACATTTTCATATATTTTAGAAAACTTTATGCTTTTATTTCAACTATCAGCATAATGTAAATGTTGAATGATCATCATTGTAATACGATTGAATTGATGGAAAGTGATTAAACTATGTAAATTAGTTCTTATATTGGAGTATATATTTCCAATTAAGATTCTTATTGTGCTAAAGTTTTTATTTGATTGTGCATCAATGTAGTTTCCAGTTTGGAAAAGTATTGGAAAGTATTTACAGTTTATCATGTTTTTGGTTCAAGATATATAAAAACCACACCTGCAGAAAAGGTCATTGTTTGGTAAAAGAATAGTTCACTTAAAATGACAACATAATTTAATCATTTTTTTCAAAACACAAATTATATATTTTTGTTAATGAAACCTGAGAAATCCATGTATTTAAAACTTAGAAGCTAATTTGTGTTTGGGGGTTATATGAAATCTTATGAGTTGAACTCTGAACAATGAATGTATGAACAATGTGAAAGCCAGTAAATAATGGTAGTATTTTAATTTTTGTGTCAACTATCCCTTTACAAAAGGTTATTTCCCTATAATTTCAATCATCAGTTTGAACCTCTATAATCAATGTAAAAAAGAGTTTTTTTTTTTTTTTTTCTGCAGGTGTTGGAGCGAGTCCCTACGTCATGAACTGTAATGTAACCATCGATACCCAGGATCTGGCCCTGGGCCGTAGTGTGGCTTCAGCAATCCGTGAATCCAGTCCTGGTGGCATCCCTGGAGTTCAGGTCATGGCCCTGCCACATGAAGGTGCCGTGGAGATCGCCTGCAATGTGGAGAGTGTTCATGGTAGTTCTTCATCTCATGGTGAGGAGCAGTGGCCAAACTTCAGCATTGGAGGGCAAACCTTCTGCCATGCTCCAGCCTCACTAATCACTGCACGCGTAGCAGAATTGGTTAAACACCATGGAGTGGGTATCAAGGGTACAGCCCTGGTGGGCTTTACCCCACGCGAGTGCCGGAGACTGGCAGAAGGAGCCATCTCTAATGGAATTGGAGAGTTCTGGAAAGAGCTGAGGCGTGTGCACATGTGAACCAGCAAAAAATAAATAAACTTTTAACACTCTGATCATGTGCAAAACAATAGCACATCATCATCATCATCGACTAAAGCTGATAGAAAAATATTTCTGAGATCAATTATTAATCGGGTGTTTTTGAAGCTTTTAAATGAATAGCATCATCATCATTTACTCACCCATGTGTCATTCCAGACCTTTATGACTTTTTCTGTGGAAGAAAAAAAGACATTTTGAAGAATAATGGCACCAAATACCAGTTTTTGCATACCTCTGACTTCACATTCGACTCTATGGACTGTAATGTACTAAAAATCTTTTGTGTTTTACAAAATGTGGAACACTATGAGGGCCAGATCATAGTAAATGATCGTAGTATTCATTTCATTTTTCACCCAAACTTTAAAATAACAGAAACCATGCATGCTGTTATACGATTAAAATGTTTGATCTTCAAATATAATTTTCTCATGATCAATATAATTAGGAATTGGACCAAAAACAGATGAATATATTAAATACTGTGCCTTAACTGCTAATATGTAATAATATTTGGGAAATATGTTTAATTGCTTCGTTTCAATAATACAAATGTTCTAATGCTGTAATTTGGGTTCATCACTAATGTGAAGACAATCTTGTACTTATAGGTCTGTATAATTATACAAAAAACTAATTAGGCCATTGCTGCTTGACAATGAGAGTAATCTTCTAGTATGGCTCAAACATTTTAAAGGGATAAATCATGGATGAGTAAATAAAGGCAGAATTACATTTTTGGGTGAACTATCCCTTAAATTACTCACTATTACAAAAATGCATGAGTACTTTATCATGCAAGTACAGACAGCAATAGGTAAACTAATTTCGCAAGCTGTTGAGTTTTACTTCCTTGATATTTTACGTGGAACAAACATTCTGAAAAAACAGGTTTTGAAATCATTCAATACAAGTTTGAGCTTGATTGAGCTGAAGATAAAGGGGTTTCTGAACTGAATATTTATGCTTCCATTTGAAACAAGATACTGTAGGTATTTGACAATATTGTCAGAGGCAGCCTTATTCACAAAAGACGGTACAATTGAATATAACGTATATAGATTCTGTCTTCGCCATTTAAACTTCACTTGTTTTGCATCAGTTCTTTCATAATGTCATCCAGATGTCACTACAACAGATATAGCTATAAACAGGAATCCCTAATCATCCAACCTTTACAAAAATACAAAGCAGACACTTTAAACTGCTGCAACACTACCATAACTTTTCTGAACAGCCAGCAGGCTGCTGTAACCTAAAGATATTTTTACAAAGAATGCTAAATTCTCTATTATACAAGATCAAATTGTATAGCTTGTAATAAGACATCAATGTAATAACCATTAATGTAAATCTTCTTCAAGGGTAAACATGTTTCATGTGCACAGAAACATTAAAACCTTCATTATAGAAATGCAACTAGAAAAATACTGTTCCTGACATTTCCCCTGGCTAACTGGTTTAATATAGTTTGCAGCTACTGCATGCAAACTAATCGCAAATACATGAATTGGGCAAATATATCTTAATAAAAAGCAATTATCTTAACATATGAACTCAAATAATTCTATAGCACAATAAATACACAAGGTATTCAACTGTTTTTGGATAATTAATTGCAACTCCCAGTAACATACTTTACCTGGTATAATGATCCATGTTTGTTTAAATACAAAATGAAAAGGATTTTATTAAAACCACATCTTCAGATCACCGGTGTGGGTATATTCTTAGCCTTTAACGGTCATCATCAGGTTGGACATTATTCAAAAAAACATTTAATTATTTTTTTTTTTTTAAAACCTGAACTTGTCTTGACAAACTAGATTTAATCTGCATATCATTTTCAAGTGTGAACACAAAGTGGGGTAAGACTATAAAATGTGCAAATATTTACAAACAAAACAACCTCTCATGTGAACAGGAATGCAAGTAAAAGAACACTTTGGCTAGATACGTGAGCTTAACTATTGGACCAAAAGAAATACATCTATAACGGTATGGTCAAGTCTTCCCAAATTATCTATTTCATAGATAAGCAAATAAACATCCAGATTACAAATGATACATGGTGGTGTTCCAGTATAAGAGTGTGCAGAATGTTTTAGTGTAGTCCCATTGCACTATGGAAAGCAAGTCTTATTTGTTGTAAATGGCACTGAAAAGGTCAAGTAAAACAACTGCAACCACCGCAGGAATCCCAATATTTTGTTCTTGATTTATTCCTAATTAAATAATTCTAATAGTTCGAGCAAACCATCACCTCTCCTTTCACACGGTCACTTCTGGTAATTATTATTATTTTTTTGGCCAAGGAGTAAAGGGAAGAACCCATGTAGTCTTCAGTCACTTTGAAGTTCATTCCCCAGTTTCCAACAGCAGTTAATCATTCCTGAATGGCATGGCAATGCATTCATGATAAACAAAAAGAAAGTGCATCGAGTGTTCAAGTATGGTGTATAGTTTAACATTTAGGAAAAGGGAAGCAGCGGTGGGCCACTGAATCAGCACTTAAATGGCAAAAAAGGCCTACCCTTAACTGGGACAAGTTGAACTCTATACTTGTGTGAAACAAATAATCATACTTTGCAAATAACAAAAGCACATGTGGCAAAACAGTAGCATTAAACCTCGTATCTTTTGGCAGTATTGTTTTGTGTTCTGTAAGGATGGTTTGTGGATGAATTTTAGAAAGGAGTGGGAACATGGAAATGGTTTTGAAGTCTCATCTCTTTGAAGCCCTTCTTGGGTCCCTGCCATTGCTAATGGTGACTGTGGGTTTGGGTGGAGCAGGGGTTCCCCCTGCAGTTACTGGGGGTGGTCCATTGCCTGGAGCACGCCCATTTGGTCTTCCTGAAGCCCCAAAGTTTGGATCCCGTGGCACAGGTGCAGCATTGTTATTGGAAAACACTGGCACAGTTCCATTACCTGATTGAAACACAAATTTAAATATTTTAGTGATAAACAAATTGTACAAAGTGACCAGTAGAGAGAAAATATTTAAGGCCCTGTTATACTTCACCTGAAGAACAAAATGGTAACATTAAAGACATTCCTAAATTAAATTGGAAATTTGACAATTTGGCAAAGTGAACATAACAGAAGACTTACTCCCACAGATAAGCATCTTTGAACTACCATTGGACTGTGGCAATGAAACATTAGAAATGCTTTTTGTTATGGAATGAAAGCATACTGTCCATTCAAATATTAATCCAATACCACTTTCAGAAGAGTAAACTGAAAAGGGATTTAAGGCCAAAAAGAAGTTCTACTCATTTACCCTAAAGTAAAACTTTGTTGTGGGTTAATCTGGGCCCTCTGTTGCGTCATTTAGTAGACACATCTAATCAGAAACAACTTGCAGTATGCTTAAAAAAAAAAGAAGAAAAAAAAGCCATTTTGCAATAACTCCAGTTTCTGAGATTGAACGACTCCAGACTCAAAACCATTATGCTAGTGCTACAAAATTAGCATCTGTCACCGTAGTTGGACAGACTGTGTGAAGTATTAGCCATATTTACTCACCTGTCTGCACAGGAGTACCTGCATTTTGATTTGGTGGAGAATTTCCACGCTGTTCTTTACTCTGCCAAGAGGATAAAAGATAAATGTCATGGTCTTTTAATAATAAACCAGCAAAGCTCATGCTGTTCAAATATTTAAATATAACTCTGTATTTGCATGCGCAGCAGAAGTGAAACCAAATTCTTGCTAGTCACATTCAGAATAAATGGTTCTAAACAAGGCTAAAGCTTGTTTTACAGACTCCTTCATTTTAATGTTTTCCACTATAAGTGCAGCAAATTTTAGGCATGCAGATGATTCTGCACGTTGGAGGAAATTTTACACATGGAAAAGCAATTTCGTATAATCAGGAACACTGGGCTCACCGTCTTGTTCTGTTGGTTAGCTTGTGCTAGCAGCTCAGGGTTAGGCTCACTGAAATTTGGAACCTCAGAATACACCATACAGAATCTGTGAAAGACATTACACTATGAGGGCTCCAACACTGAGGAAACATGCCTCTGAATGTCTCTTTTACTTAAACATGTATTTGGCAGAAGGTGCACATGTTACCAATTCATGTAATCCCTGTAAAATCAAAACCAATGACATTAGTGTTGCTGGCATCATTTTCTCCTGAAACATGCTTTTGCCCAGGTCAGTATGATTATTAATGACAAATCTTTATTAGAAATCCCACCAAGACCAATTTTCAGTCAAAAAACAAACAAAAATCTTGGTAATAAAATGGAGAGTGTTTATAGTACATTTCATAATGACACACACAAACCACCAGTCAGTGCTGCATTATAGCAAAATGTGCCAAAGCAGATATTCAGCAGTCACCTAAAACACTGTATGGAGTATGCCCATGCTCTCAAGTCAAAACTATTATTGTTAACATGCACTGAAATTACAGATTCAGCCAATGATTTATGTTGTCACACTCAATGACATGCAGAACTACAAGTATTAAGATTATTCATTTATTGCCATGGGCCAGTGCTTGCTGCAAAAGTTGCCAGTCACTAATGCACTCTGTAGATTATATTACTGACAAAAAGGGTGAATTTCAATTTGTTCATGTGCCAAGTACACCGTTATTTATTAATGTTGAGAAATAAACGAATCATGAAAATGTAAAACGAATAAATTCTTAAAGGGATGCATTTAATACTCACTCTCCTATTTTCTGTAGATCTCCTCCTCGTCCAGTATACAGTGTAAGGCACCCTTTCCAGATCGAAGCATACCTAGACACAAATATATGAAGCCAAATCAGAACTATTTTCTTTGCACATGCACATTTGATAGTGGTGACGTCTTACACAAGACCAGTGGAACAAGCACTTGGACAATCTACTGACAGCCCAGTGAGGTCTAAATAAAAGCAAGAGTGTAAAGAGGCGTCTCGTACCCTCTCGTAAGGCGGATGATGTCCCCGGGCTGGATGAGGCTGCCCAGCTCATCCCACACAGAGATGGCGATGCTGCCGCTCTTATCCGCCACTCTACACGAGCGCACCTCGTGCCCGTCCTTTGTCTTCGTCACCCGACCTGCGCGTGCACAACAAAGTTCAGTGTAAATTATCAAGCGTTACAAAACTACTAACACACACATAACTGCGTTACTCGACATCAGATGTGTGAAAATCAAAGCTACGCGGAGCACAAAGCAACACGGGAGACGAGCGCAATGTTACTCTTAAATGTTAGCTGTTAGGAATTAGCTGAGCTCGTGCTAACTCACGGTCGTGAGGGACACAGCAGCCGATCTCCACTTACCGATCTCCAAAACTATAAAGACGATATTAAGGTTTTTGGATCCGGGTTTTACATCTTTAATCAAGATCACAGCTTCGTTGGAGATATTCGACATTTCTGAGGCGGATGCTAGCACACCGGCTAGCAATACCACAGCCGTGTGTGAGGATTTCTCGATCTAACTTAGAACGAAATATGTGCTCTGAGTGGGTTGTTTGTTCGCTAAATAAACTTTACTAAGCAAATAATTGTGGGTTGTGAGATCCTTTAAGAAAGGCCGAAGTGTTACTAGCTTAACATCGGCGGCAGTTAGTTTTTCTTATTTGACCATCGAGCTAACGTTAAAGGAGTGGACGTAAAAAGGGGAAATATTTCCTCCTCGACGAATAAAACGAACTAGTTATTCGCATAAAAACACTTAGCTCATTTTGCTGAAGGACATTTTAGAGTTCATCCGCCTCTAAACCTTAAAACTAAAGATTTCGCTTTAAGTCTGTCACTGATTAAAATGGTTAGCATCCAGACACATTTGTAAGATCTTTTGGCTAGCCTAGCGTACACAAATCAATACACGACGTCAAGTTACCAAATATCAGTTGAAATGATCGCTTTACATTAAGATGCCGGTTATTATGCGGGCTGCGTTTAAAACGGTGTCAGTGAATACAGACACAGGCGCACACACTGCTGCTCAAACTACTAAACTCGCATCTCTTCATTTCAGCTTCCTTTCGAAAATCATTCATTACGTGTCTGCTCCACATTTAAGGCTAAATCGACGAAACTTGGATCAATTTAAAACGGATGTCAGCCGAAATAACTGTAGCTGCCTAACTTTTTATGCCTTATGAGCAGTTCGAAACTTCCTATTGGCCTTTGAAGTTAATGTAGCATGTATTCTACGTGTGAAACACAGCCATCCTACGAACAAATAAAATAAAAAATGTCGCAAAAGAGGGGAACTCTCTATTTCACAGTGCTAGCCGTCTCTCCCTCACTAACAAAGCGTCTGATCCGTGCCAGTGTGTTCAGTTCTTTAAATTCTCCCGAATGTGCCATCGCACCGTTTCGTGGGGGTGTTCAGAGATGCGCTGTTGCTGTTAAATGCTCACAATCCAGTCCAATAAACGCATGTATGCATAAACAGACTGTGAAAATAATTCACTCTTTGGTATACTGTATCGTCAGTATTACATGGGATCAAACGCTTTATGAACTGAAATATTGGGTTCTACCGTGTTCTTGTTACATTGAGCTCATTCTGATTGGACGAGATGAAGAATGTGTCCACATGGATAGGAAATAACCACACTCCATTTCCTTGTACGATTGTCGACGTTGTGTAATATGATTTGATTACACGTTCACAAATATTTCCAAAGGTATTTGGGTTGCATCATCACCCTTCATAGTAATCCGATAGAGGGCTGGCAAATAAACATATTTTACTGTATTTCAAAGGCTGTATGAACCCAGCTGTATATCAAAAAAGTTGTTTAAACGCTTTGGCCTTAGATAAATAAACATCTAAAATGTTTTAAAGGCTAAATAGACAAGTATCGTTATCAATTCCTCACATCTGCTTTCTGAGTCAATGTGGAAACATGACTGGTACATATAGATAGTAAGGAATTCTCTCAATTTCAGCTTTATATATATATGTGTGTGTGCGTATTATTATATGTGTGTATTATTATATCTTTTCTGCATTTATAGCAGATCAACAACAGTAATTTTATTGAGGTCTTGGGCTCACAAAAGCAAAAAGGAAATTCGTCACGAACAGGATTCGAACCTGTGCGGGGAAACCCCATTGGATTTCGAGTCCAACGCCTTAACCTCTCGGCCACCGTGACGCCATTTTAAACTGCACAAAAACTCAATATAGATATTTCTATCCGCAGATCAGACTACAGTGATATTAACCTTGTGTTGATTTTTTTATTGTTTCTTATTCTTTGATCACTTAAACACAACAAAATACATTTGTACCTTTGTATCAACTTACGTAAAACCAACACGCATTAGCACGGGTTTCACATGAACTTCATGTGGGTAACGTTATATAATTCATACGCAAATGCAATTACTACATATAAAAACGAAACGATTTTTTTTCAGAAAATTATAATAATTATAATTTTAAATATCATAAGCAAATTAATAAACTGACATACGACATTTGGCCACACGGTGGAGACAGCATCCAACAAAATGCTAAAAATGTCAAAACTACCCAATTAAAGTTAGGCTAGCTAGGCCCAAAAAGAATAAAACACATGTTGCTTGTGTTTTTCAGCTACTATTCAAAATAATGCCAATGTTCTTTTGAAAAAGCATACTCCTGTAAGTAAACCTAGAATACAAAGTTTTGGCAATTCAAAATAAATAGAAGTGCATGCAAGTATGACTATTAATTACATTCTGCACTGCATTCGCTTTAAAACCCTTAATTTTTTAGGCAAGGTATAAAACAAACGTCTTCTCTAATATAACATCCAAGTTCTCTTGCAAATGTTTTACACTCAGTGTAAATTTTCAACTCCGTACTGCAATAATCCTTTAACAATAGACAGCACATGTAAACTGACTCCTCAGTCTACCTGAAAGCCAGAGAGATTTCTGACCGCTTACCAAACCCACATGTGGTTGATGTTGAAAAGAAACCGTGAAGTTTTCTGTCAAAAAGAGCAATTCATCTTAACTCGCATATTCCACACAAAAGAAGAGCAACAGGGTTTTATAGGCTCACAAAACTCCTTTAATTAGCACATCATCGTTTAGGAATTGCACATGTTTTATGGATAACGCCGTTTATTGTAAACACTGCGCCACGCTCAGGCTGAGTCCTGAAGTTGTTTTATAATGCTTTACTGGCAAAGTGTGTCGCCACACCAGCATGAGACAGTGCGGTCCGAGGGAAGCAAGCCACGAAGGCCTGCGGGCAGGACAGCACACCTGTACATATGCGGGTTCCCCATACCTCAGCTAACCCATGAAAACAATCAATCCTTTCCCACCTCTTCTGCTTCCAGTCAGTGGAAAATGAAGCTCATAGAAGCAATCCATCAAATCCAGGAATGCACCTTCTTCACCTGCTGTGTGTGATAGATGTGAGAGGGGAAACCTGTAGTTTAGTTTAAAAAAATATCCTGCAACAAAATGTGTACTGGTATGAGAACTTATTTCATTGAATCATCTGAGAATGTGAGGTTATTAGATCAGCAGTATAGAATGTTTGACAACGCACAGATACTTCTGCTTTACTGTACATTTGTAGTTATTAGGTTGTGTGTTTGTGCCCTCGCCATGCACTAGAGCAGTAATTGGAGAGTTGTTGGCAGCTGGTTACGTTGCCATGGAGATGGCAGTCAGTTGTGCTGGCTTTTCCCCAGAAATTTTGTAAACACTTCCTACCACTCTCAGACCTCATTTAGACACATATTCAAACATCGAGGTGGACTGCTACAAAATATTTTCATAAAAGTTTAAAATAAAACTACTGTCAACATTTTATCTCTTTCCTTTGTACTCGTCTGTTTTATATCCTAAAAAGGAGTGTGCTGGTATAAGTAATAATATATAATGGAGCAGAGATGATGGTGTATTGGTGCTTTTTTATTTGTATCTATTTCCCTGTTACACTTGGAATCAAGGTGTGTTTTGGTTGATTGGATCACAAGTTTTCCAATTTCCTGATTCTTTAAAGCAGGGGTGCCCAAACTTTTTCTTGTGAAGGGCCAAAAACCACACTTGATTGAGTGCGGTGGGCCAAAGGTAAATATACCAAAATATTAAAGTTCAAACTATAAACTACATTAAAGTGGGCATGGTAAATTCCCAATTTATTCAGATATACAAAAAATACTTTAATCGTATTATTATGTTATTATTATATACACATTTTTACATTTTGCAATGAACTTCTTACAATAAAAACAATCCCATTTATAACAGAGTTCAATAAGGAGTCTTGAGTCAAGCTTCACCTGTCTTTCCCTTTATTTACTCGTCAAAGTCTTCTGCATTGTCTTTGATCCATCAAGTGAAAGTATTTATTACATATTACAAATCTGATTCCTTCACAGCAATGAACTGAATAATTTAACTTCAGTTAGTTTTTTTGTAGCTCAAAAGTTAAACTAACAAAAGGTTATGATCAATTAAAAATGATGATCACTGTTAAAGGCATTCGTCCCAACTTTCCCCATCAATCTCCCTCACTTTTCAGATGGGATGGTGGGCCAAATCAAAGGTTACCACGGGTCACCTTTGGCCCGTTGGCCCTAGTTTGTCCATCTCTGCTTTAAGGAAAGGATCTATGGATGCTTGGGCAGGTGTATAGGCCTTTTCTGGCATTGTAAAAGTAAAAACCATACAGAGATAAGCATTTTTCATGTGTTTTGATAGCTGGAAATTACACCAAACTCTGCTATTATGTGTTCTTTCTGCATTTTCACTGTAAAACCAAATGTTATTTCAGATGACTACATTTGTGTCAACAGTATGCAATTTGGTCAAATGCTTTTTCGACCATCTAAAAGTGGTCAAATGATGACAAGTTCATAATGTTTCAAAGCCAGTTTAGACCTAGGGCCTGTACCATGAATCCAGGGGTTTTAGATACCACAAAGGTAGCTCAGTTGTTCCATAATACTATGGCAACAAAGAGTATTAAAGTCAAGTTGCCTTTGTGTTATCTAAAACCCAAGATTTAGGGGCGGACTGGCCATCTGGCAATTCTGGCAAATGCCAGAAGGGCCGGACCAATTTTTATATGTGGGTTGGTCAGTTTTTTTTTTTTTTAATATGTATTGTTTTTAAGTGCAGACAGCTTTTATCTCTTGCTAGATGTGATATTATGATGATGATAATAAAAAATAATAATAATAAATGTTTAATAATAAAAAAGCATTTAGCCAAATCGGCAACTGCCGCCTGGTTTCAAGATGGGCCGACCCAATCCAAGGTTACCCGGACATAATCAAAATTGGGCAAACATGTCATATTATTTCACCATCTTTACACCAAAATAAATAGTGAATGTGTGTGTCTGTGGATGGGGCTGTGTCGGTGTGGTAATGTGGGCTGGTGTGGCAACAGTGCCAGGGATGAATTTTTGTCCCAGTCCGCCCTTCCAAGATTGGTGCAAACTTCCCTGAAACAACTGCCTAGACAGCTAATCCAGCTTCATTACAGGCCCCCGTGTTTAACATTGTTCACTTAGCATTGATGAACAATGACACATCTTGATACTAGGTTTAAATGGTCTACTCTATACTATTTGCATCATATTACTATTAGGGAAAAATCAGACAGTGTTTCCAAAAGGCATAATACTCTCATATTATTTTATTGTAAGCAAGTTAATACTAAATCTTATGTACATTGGCAGAATAGAGTCTGGACTCCAGCATAACAAAGTACAGATTGGCACACACATTGCCTCTCCTACACAAAAGACAGAAAAAAACAGATAGGAGTGAGAGTTCAGGCATTTCAGTTCAATTTCATGGTATTCACAGGCTCCCACAGGAAAATATAGCTATTTTGGTGTATCATTGTGGTTACAGTGGTCTGAACTGCTGTACCATTCTCTGGGCCTTTGTACAGATTCTATGTGGAATGGAATCTAAATGGAAATTCCTCCTACAAGAACATGCTTAATTTCTGATTTTAATACGATGGGTTACAGGTACATTATATTTTAAAGTTAATTCAGGGCGGTATGTTATTTGAGCAGACATGCTAGCATTAAACAAGCTTGGGGACAAGATACCAGTGGCACAAGGGAGTAACTATGCTTCTCAAAGTCTCCAAAGTAGATTGAAGTCAGAGGGCTAGAAACACAGCAATATTTAAGTGTGGACCTCAACAGCAGCTTCAGTCGACGGCACAGATGCAGGCGCTTCTTTAGCAGGTCCTGACTCTTTCTCCTCCTCTTCCTTTCCATTTTCATCATTCTCATCAGTGTCATCATCTTTATCCACTTCCTCTTCAGCCAGAGTTACAGATGGACCATTTTCC